CAGCTGTGAGGCCTTAAAGTTTCTTCAAGCAATAAATCTTAAAACGACATCCCCTAGTTTTAATAGCCAGTGTGAATAGACTGGTGCTTGCAGTGGTGTGCAGCCTCTGTACTATTAGGGAAGAACCAGTTAATACCAGTACCTTTTGGGGTAGCGCTACACCTGTCAGTGGTCATAATGTTATGGCAGATTGGTGTAAGTCTTCAGTACCTGGCCGCACCAGTACCCCAAAGGGGGCTAACACCTGGTTACATGCATGTAATGTAGTGTGAGTACCTGAATTTGACTTGGCATCAGCCTCTTGTATTCCCCTGTACTGTATTCAGACTGTTAGAAGGAGTGGCAGCATTAGCAGCCAATGAAGTGTACTGCTTGCAAATGTGCTGACAAGTAATAGAGAGCAGAATGAGCAGAAAATCAGGCTATTGTTGCTTCTATAATATTCAGTCAAAAGGCAGGTTGCAGTGTGGTGTCAGCAGTGTACTCTTTAATTATAACAATTAGAAAGTGGTGTTAACGTTCTTAGTTTCCATGCATTAAGCTGAGATGGGTTAAAGCAGAAAAATAACCGCTTGAATATACTGTATCCCTTCATTATCAAGCAATTTTTTTGTTTTCAGCATTGTGATAGTTGGAATGACAATTATTCAACCACCCCACATTGTGCCCAAATACATTTTATATCATTTTTTGAGATAGAAAGAGCTTTCTTTTGCTGGGGTTTAATAACTATTGGGTATGTTACTTTTTGTTACTGTATAAAGAAAAAAATAGATAAAAACAACACATCCTATAAAAAAAATCTAAAAAAAATGCCAGGACAGTACAAACACCCCAAAAATGGTCCCTTTCTGAAAAGTAACAGAATGCATAGAATGCATTAAGGTGAAAAAAACCTCCTGCCTTTAGAACCACTTTAATGTAGACAGTAAATCTGAATCAAGTACTAATATTGGGATTATCACACATCTTATGTGATGTTTTTTGTTTGAGTGTGCTAGTGACCTAGGTTAATACTTCTCAGTTTATTGCTACTTGATGCCTAAGGCTCATTATTGTTTTCTATGCAATGCTATTTTGGGCTTCCTAGTTTTGATGTTTTTGCACACAGGTGATGCAACAGAGCCCCCTAGTGGGAAGAAAAGAAAGCTTTTCTAAACAACGATTGATAAAATGTCATAGCTCCCACTTGTCCCTCTTTCGGAGGGACTGTCCCCCTTCTGAGGCCAAATTCCTCTGTTCTTCATGCAGCCTCAGTTGTCCCTCTTTTTGGTTTAATTTGTGCATCTCTATACAAAATGTACTATTTTACTCAGGGCTTTTTTTTCCTCATAAAATAGGTGCAGGTACTCCAATGGGACATTGGGTCGCCCTTTGTCTCTGTCTCCCCACATGGAAGAATGTTCTTCCCAAATATATTGAAATATATTTGAAATGCTACAATTTTGGCCATATTCAATATATTTCAAAATATAGTTCAATAAATATATATATATACACAAAATATATGAAACATGTTTTTAAAAATACATTTCGAATATACTGTATGTCTTTAAAAATACAAATCTACATTTTTCGAATGCATTTACAAATATATGTTAAAAATAATTTTTATATGTTAAAAAGAATCTGAATAATATATTTAAAAAATATATATTTTTAAAAATATATTTTTTTAAATTTTTTTTTTTTAAATATATTCTTCAGATTTTTTAACATAAAAAAGTAATTTTAACATATATTTTTTACGTATATGTGTAAATGCATTCCAAAAATGTAGATTTGTATTTTTAAAGACATACAGTACATTTGAAATGTATTTTTAAAAATATTTTTCATATATTTTGTAATAAAAATGCATTTCAAAATACAGTGTGTATATATGTAAATGTGTGTGTGTATATATATATATATATATATATATATATATATATACACACATACATACACACACACAGTTGTGTTCAAAGTAATAGCAGTCAGACATCACTAACCTGATCAATCACTGTTTTTGGTAGAAATGATATTTCTACACGGCAAATAATTTACTAGCAGGTGTAGTAGAGTAATAGAAATCCAACAGACCCAACAGTCATGACATGCATGCTGCTGATTCTGTGTAATTGAATCACTAATTGAAAGGGGCATGTTCAAAATAATAGCAGTGTGGAGTTCTATTAGTGAGGTCATTCATTCTTTGAAAAAACAGGTGGCAATTATTGCCCTTATTTAAGGAAGGAAGGCAGCAAATGTTGTCCATGCTGGTTACAGTGCATTTCTCTCTGAAATTCTGAGGAAAATGGGTCGTTCCAGACATTGTTCAGAAGAACAGCGTACTTTGATTAAAAAGTTGATTGGAGAGGGGAAAACATATAAAGAAGTGCAGAAAATGATAGGCTGCTCAGCTAAAATGATCGCAAATGCTTTAAAATGGCAACCAAAACCTGGAAGACGTAGAAGAAAGCGAAAAACTACCATTCGAATGGATAGAAGAATAGCCAAAATGGCAAGGACTCAGCCAACAATCAGCTCCAGGAAGATCAAAGAAGGTCTAAAGTTACCTATGAGTACTGTTACAATTAGAAGACGCCTATGTGAAGCCAAGCTATCTGCAAGAAGCCCCCGCAAAGTCCCACTGTTGGAAAAAAAGACGTGCTGAAGAGGTTACAATTTGCCAAAGAGCACATTGACTGGCCTAAAGAGAAATGGCCCAACATTTTGTGGACTGATGAAAGTAAGATTGTTCTTTTTGGGTCTAGTGGCCGGAGACAGTTTGTCAGACGACCCCCAAACACTGAATTCAAGCCACAGTACACTGTGAAGACAGTGAAGCATGGTTGCACAAGCATCATGATATGGGGATGTTTCTCATACTACGGTTTTGGGCCTATTTATCGCATACCAGGGATCATGGATCAGTTTGAATACATCAGAATACTTGAAGAGGTCATGCTGCCTTATGCTGAAGAGGAAATGCCCTTGAAATGGGTGTTCCAACAAGACAACGACCCCAAACACACCAGTAAACGTGCAACATCTTGGTTCCAGACCAACAAGATTGATGTTATGGAGTGGCCAGCCCAATCCCCGGATCTTAATCCAATAGACAACTTGTGGGGTGACATCAAAAATACAGTTTCTGAGGCAAAACCAAGAAATAGAGAAGAACTGTGGAATGTAGTCCAATCATCCTGGGCTGGAATACCTGTTCACAGGTGTCAGAAGTTGGTGGACTCCATGCAACACAGATGTACAGCAGTTCTCAGAAACAGTGCTTATACAACTAAATATTCATTAAGTGATTCAAAGGAAAGCAAAATCTATTTTTTTGAACAGTCTAATATTCACTTTTCTTCATTTTTTTCTAGAGGAACAACACAAATTTAATATATTTTCTTCATGTTTTGATTTGGAATAGAATGTGTAGTGTTCCCAATGCATTTGTGTATATGGAAATAAAAGCTATTAGAAGGATTTTGAGATTTATTCACTTTTTTCAACACACTGCTATTATTTTGAACACAACACACACACACACACACATATATATATATATATATATATATATATATATATATATATATATATATATATATATATATGAATATTACTAAAAATTGTAGCATTTCAAATATATGTCAATATATTTGGGAAGAATATTTTTTAAAAATATATTTCAAATATATTTTTGTTCCATATGGGCCTGACCTACCTCTGCGCATTGACCCCTTGTTTTGACTCTCCTATCCACCTTCTAGTACTGCTCCTTAGAGAATACAGAGCCAAGTATAATGTTGTGGTGTTACGTAATTTGTATGGAATTAAATAATGATTATAGACCCCTCCAGCAACAATAGATCATTTCCAGCAACAACATACTCTCTGCCCAGAAAATACCCCAACCGCCAGCAACAATAGATCTGCCCCAGCAACAATAGACCACTGCTGGCAATAGTAGATTCCCAGCATCAATAAACTCACCCCCCTAAACAGTAGATCCCTCGACAACATAAGAACCCCAGAGCAAAAATAGATCCCCTCATCAACAATAGACCCCCCATTAGCACTACACCCCAGTTACAATAGATCTCCATAAATCAACATTATTAGACCCTCCAGCACACCCCAGCCCCCTTTGTCATTACATGTGTTCTGTGCTAGAGGTGCTGGAACTGTGTTCCCTCGTGTTCCTGCTAAAATAACACCCTGATTTTACTACCAAAAGTGTTATGCTGCCCTACACTTTTTATCCAACCTCTATATTACTGCATTTGCTATTTTGAAAAGCCAATATAAAGGAAAAGATAGAGGTAAAAAAAAAAACACTTGTATAGTTTAGTTGACACATTTCTGCATATTTTCTGCATATTATCAAAATGTCCCTGGTGTTTCTATCTATCTATCTATCTATCTATCTATCTATCTATCTATCTATCTATCTATCTATCTATCCTAAGTCTGATTCCAGCTCTTTGCTCTATTGTGGAAGTGAAATTCACTTTCAGGCTCAGTCCCCCCCCTTCTTCCTTGCGGCACCCCTTCACCCATAAAAAAAAAAGGATCAATATACAGTACATACCTTTTTCCTGGTGTCTTTGGTCCAGTCAAGCAATGTTTTAGGCCCCCCTCTGGCCATATACATCTCGTATATCAGATTTTACCCACTGCAACAATAACTGTCACTCTGTTCTCAACAGAATTACAACATTGTCTTTGAGTTTGTAAACGCATTGCAAGATCTGAAGTTCTAGCTACAGAGCTGCAACATTTTGGTATAGGGTTTCCACAAACATAGCACTGTTTCTCTTCCTACAGACAGCCATTTTAAAAATATACATTTTCTCAAACATTAATTTTGGTGAAATCCCTGTGATGATCACACACTCTCAGACACACCCTGTGTAGAGATTCTCCAATGTTCAAAACAAGATTCTAAATGCCAGCAGGCTCAGAGGGACTGTCACTGGGGCAGGTCAACCAAGCATTTAACCCGTATATACATGGTAGCCGCCACGTGTCTTACCTGACACACTATGGGGGGACTTACTGTAACTGGAGCATTCAGAATCTGGTGCAGCTGTGCATGGTAGCCAATAGGCGTCTAACCCAGGGGCGGACTGACAATTCATGGGGCCCCCGGGCAATAGGGGATCATGGGGTCCCTGTGTCCTTGCCCAAACTCAAAAAAGCCTATGAAAAAGGTACCAGGGGCATCTCATGGGGCCCCCTACTGACCCCGGGCCCTCGGGCAGTGCCCGAGTTTCCAAATGGTAAGTCTGCCCCTGGTCTAACCTCAGCTTTTTCAAATAAGCTTTGACAATAAAACCTGGAAGCTGACTGGTTTCTATGCAGTGCTGCACCAGATTTTGGACTCTTTTAGTAAATCTCCCCCCTATGTTACATGCCTAGTGGAGGAGCCTAAAGAGATGAGGACTTGCACAAATGGAGTGCCAGACCAAAAGATTAAAGAGTTCAAATTCAATTACTAGTTTGTGCTAAAAAAAGTCACGCCTTTCAAGGGTCAGAAACACTCTCCCCTCATCAGGGTTAAAAGAAAAACACAATGGGGACATTTTCTAAAGCTGATGCACACAAAATCTGGTGCAGCTGTACATAGTGACCAATCAACTCACCTCCAGAACTTCTCTCGAGCTTCTCCCGTCCTATGGAACGCCCTACCCCAATCTGTCTGACTATCTCCTAATCTATCCACCTTTAGACGATCCCTAAAACGTTTCTCTTTAAAGAAGCCTATCCTGCTTCTAACTAGTAAACTGCCATTTTTTTCCTCCATCAGCTCACCCCCCCCCCACAGCTATTACCTTTTGTATCACTCAACCCTTCCTCGTAGATTGTAAGCTCTAATGAGCAGGGCCCTCTGTTTCCTCTTGTACCAAACTGTATTGTAACTGTAATGTCTGCCTTCATTTTGTAAAGCAAACTGTTGGCGCTATATAGATCTGTATAATAATAATAAAATTCAGCTTGTTCAATTAAGCTTTAACAATAAAACCTGGAAGATGGCTGGTTTCTATGCAGAGCTGCACCAGATTCTGTGTGTACCAGTTTTAATAAATCTCTACCAATACAATGTAAATGTGATAATTACAAGTTTAGCAATCATAGAACATAATGTAGAACATACATATACTGTACGTACATACATAAATAGATGCATACACGTACACATGCATAGAAATGAAGATTAAAAAAAATTCAGATGGTAAGTGATAATGTGTAATAGGTCCATATTTGGAATTAATGTGATTGTAAAGGTATTTGTTTTTAATAATAAACATGTCATACTTACTTGCTCTGTGTAATGTTTTTTTCAAAGCAGCCCCAATCCTCCTCTTCTAGGATTCTCCAGCCGGCACTCCTAGCTTCTCCGCCATTCTGAATGCCCCATAGAAGGCCACTTGCTATGGAGGTGCTCGTGCGGACATGATCCCGAGTCGGGCTTTGTGTATCCATTTGGCCCCACCTCCCGCTTTCACCTCACAGGCTATGATTGACAGCAGCTGGAGCCAATGGCTCCATGTCCAGTGAAAAGATAGATAATGAAATCTTAGACATCTGTGCAATAATGACAAATTTCATTTATATTTATACTTGTATTACCTCGTGTATTGTTTCAGTTACATGTACAATGGTATAATGGTATGATTAGCCAAGTAGAATCTGATGAACCTAATGCACATTATCACATACCATCTGATTTTTTTTTTTTTTGTATCTTCATTTCTATGCGTGTCTACTTGTATGTGTATATTTATTTATGTATGCACGTTTATGTACTGTAAAATTCAGGGGTTATTTAGGTGAGGGTAGCGCTTACCAGTGAGTAGGGTCCACGCCAGAAATTATTGTTTGAAAGTTTGTTGGCCCACTTTTATTAAAGAAAACAAAAAAAGACCATACAATGTATGTTTCCCACGCAGGTGTTTCCACCACCAATGCAAAAGAAAAAGATTCAGCCTCCTGGCTCTCTGTAGCAGCACCGCTGCTCAGGCTTTATGCTTTGGTCCTCCTAACAATACCCATACAAACGTTGTACCTAAGTTAGCGCTCTTTCACAGCATTCCTGCTTCTCCAGCCCACAGGCTTGGGCCCTCTGTCTGCTCTGTCAGACTACACCAAGACACCATTCACGCTTGTGGCTGCACCATTGCACCCACATGGACTCCTTTGGAGGGTAGAGCCCAGAACCCTGGTCCTGACTCTAGAAGAGACCCACACACCTGCACAATCAGACTCTTGGCCATTCCTAAAACCTGGTCCCAGGATCGGAGATTTCCTCTCACCCAGATCACTGTGAAATCTCCAGGTTCTAGGTTCCAAACAGAGATTTACAAAGAACCAAGGAAACTGAAAACAAGCACTCTGGAGCCCCTCAACCTAACTTGTTGAGAATCCTGGGTGAAATAATATCCTTCTTACATCGTAGAAGACCACCACACTGTCACAGTACACATAGGCATATGTATGTTATCCATGATGATCTATGATTGTTAAACCTATGATTCTATTACACTTACAATCTATCGTGTTTTGTTGTAGCCCTGATGAAGGTAGAGGTTTTTTAGTAGCACCCCCCCCCAAAATGTGTTGGCTGTTTTTTTGTGAATTTTGGTCCTGCTGGGGTGTCCACTGGAGGGTAGCCTTGCCTGTTGTGAGCAGCCTAACCTGAGCCAGTAAGCACTTCAAATATTTTTGTCCTGTCACCACTTTGTATGAACTCACATCAGAATCCTAGTGCCTTTGGATGCTTTTTCTTCATTGAAGAGATAAGGACATGCCTCTCTTACACCTCTAGGTTCCTTGTAATAAGAATAGGTGGTTCAAGGGCATGGAGCAGAATGAATGCCTCACAGTTCTTGTCAGCAGCTGGTACAGGTATACAGACATATCTGAACCTATACAAGAAATGTGGGACAGGAGACTGGACTCAGGGATACCAGACCAGAATTTCGAAGGCCAGGACTTCCTGACTGAGAGATGTAGATGGCAGTCTGACGACCATGCTCTAGGCCTCTATTCAGGTTTTTGAGCTGAACATGGGTTTTGAAACACCATGGAGGAATATCATTCTATCCTGAGAAGCTGGATGAAGCTTGGTCCTCAACTAAAGTGTGGTGGCCTCTCCCCATGGAGGCAATAGTGGAGCCAATAGGTACAGTCAGGGGCTGCTTTCACAGAATGTCAGTTTGGCTTAATGGTCCTCCATCTATGAAGACTATAAATACTTTTTTTGTCCCTCATCTGGAGTCAACTTAGTCCATCGGTGTCCTGTACTCCAACCCCTTCTCCTTGTGGTTTCGAACAAGAGCCAATAAACTTCCTGAATTGAAGAGTGACTGGTGTCCATCTGTAAACATTGCTCCACTATTGCTAAGGATTAGACCCTCAGATGATATGCTAATCTACACTGCTTCTGAGGAACCTCACATGCTTTGGGGGTCAGAGGGTGCTACAAATACATAAATGGTTCATATAGGGAATTTGGTGCAAACTCATTTACTTTAAGGTCGTTGTAAAAGGATAAGGATGCACTCCTTGTGCCTGGAGGAAAATAGGATTAACCTCCACATACAGAAAGACTTCTTCACAGCAAGAGCTGTGAAAACGTAGAATAGATTGCCTCAGGAACTAGTTCTAGCGTGCTCAGTTGTTTTAAAAACAGGATGCATTCCTAAATAAACAGAATATAACTGACTACTAATATTTATAAGTAATAGTACGAGAGATTATTGATCCAGGAAATATCTGAGAGAAGGACTTTTTTTTTTTCCATTGGAGCAAATTGAACCATGCTTTATAGCAGTAGTTTCCAAACTGTGGCCCACAGGTCAGGTGTGGCCCTTTGCTTGCCTTTATCCGGCCCTTGAGGCACTACTCCAGCAACTGATACAGTGCACTACTCCCCCTTTTGACACCAACAACTGGGCACTATTCCTCCCACTGATACCAATGATAGAGCACTATTCCTCCCACTGATATCAATTATGGGGCACTATTCCTCCCACTGATACCAATAATGGGGCACTATTCCTCCCACTGATACCAATAATGGGGCACTATTCCTCCCACTGATACCAATAATGCGGGCACTTTTCCTCTTAATGACACCAATGATGGTGCAGTATTCCTTCCACTGACACCAATGATGGGTCAATAATCCTCCCACTGATACCAATGATGGGGCTCTATTCCTCTTAATGACACCAATGATGTAACACTATTCCTTCCACTGGCACCAAAGATGGGACATTTTTTACTCTCAGGGCATTTTTTACTCCCACTGGCCATAGTCCGACCCCCTCACTGTCTGAAGGACAGTAAACTGTCCCTTTGTTTGCATAGTTTGAAGACCCTTGCTTTGTAGGATCAGCTATGGCTATAGGGTTGTCTTTATGGAGGTTTTCAATTTATTTATTTATTAATTTTTTACTTTTTTTCAATCTCACTAACTATATAACTTTACTAAAACAACCCAGGAAATCCTTACACATCAATCATGCGTGCTAAAATGAATAGGTCTTTTAAACTGGTACAATAATACATTTAACCACTAGAGAGCAGACTTAGAAAATAAACTATAAACTGATATTGCTTGTTGCACACATCACCTGCCCCGTTTATGTGAGCTCGTACTTGTATTAATATCTTGCTCTGTTTTAGTTCATATTTAATTTAACAGAATGAGCTGAATACAAACTATTGATTTCAGTAGCATCTATGTGTCACTTGCAAACCTGGGACAGCTGGAGAATGAATAAAAACTGGAAATGGAAAAGATTGTGCGATCTCCTATCAAATCCTAGTTGCTGATGGTACATGTGATCTCAACTGCCACCTTGGCTTTCCTTAAGCTTGGCCATATACATGAAATCCTTATTATACAATCTCTGGATAGTCTCATTGCCAAAACCTTATAGTGTAAGGAAGGGCCTAATTTAAAGTACGGGTAAACCCTCACTTTGTAAAACAACCCATTCAGTTTAAAGCAGAAATGAAAGGCAAAACATGTGTAAACGTATAAAACAAAATTATAAATACAACCCCTAAAAAACCTTATTTTTATAAGTGCTCACATTTCCTCTGTTCTTACCTGCATAAGAGCTGGGGGAGGAAAAACAGCAGTTCACCGATCTTCCCAGTAAAAGACTGTGCGGGGGTTATTCAGGACAAGTTTGATCATTGGAGGAGACACAGTTCCCAGCATAGCTAGAAAACGGACCATGGTTTTGCTCCTGCTTAGTGTGGTCTGTTTCTTTTAATAGGA